TTGCAAAGGTAACAGATTAAGCTGTCGGAGGACATAAATTTCGCAGATGATGCCATAGGTGCTGAGAATTTCGCTCACGAAAAGGTACTGCAAGACTTTTGGAGGGCAGCATATTTACAACAAAGAAGAGCCTGGCACGAATGAAACGACTGCATAGGAGCACCAACTTCATCACATGACGACTACATAATTTGTTAGAGGCCTACCCAAGGGCCGGAGGGGCTCGTGTATAGCGTTAGATATATCTAACATTCGTACGATAAAGGTCACAAGTTTGGACGAACTACATTATTCTACTTCCCGTTTCGCATGAGGAGAAAATGAAATGCTAACTTTGAAATGCTGATAATGACATTTCGATGACGAAAGTGCGATTCTTCGAAGCGTGTTCCTCGTGGTTGAAAATGGGATTCGATTTGCAGGAATTGCTTCTTACAGATTCTAGCGTTGGCACTCATCACCGACGAAGAGAATTTCAGGTAATATAAAAGCACAAAATAAAAGGTGCAAGACAACACCGGAATGAGAATCGAATCGAAAGAGGGCGGGGAGAGCGGGAAAAGTGGGATGTACAGGAATATAATATATGACATCATTACATATATATCTATAATATGTATAACAACTTGCGTCTTTATCGTTGAGTCGCTAAAATTGCGTGAATGAGGAACATCCACGAGAGAGGTTTCAAACAGTAAAAAAGGAACGCATGAAGATAGACCACTAGATACAAGGCAGCTTCGCCATCACATGACTGAAGAGCGACTCCATGCCCCCGATAGGCATCAATGCACCATCTACCCGCGAGATGGTAGCTTCCAATTTCAGATAGTCACATGGCACGAGCCGAGTCCCGTGACCGCACTTGTAAGGATAATCCGCGTTGCCGTCACGACCTCTTGGGTCTTATGACAGTTTGCTCTCGTCCCAGTCATGTGAGGACTGATCCAACTCACAGGTAAGTTCAACTTTGACTTGACTTTGTTGCTTCATATGTTACATTTTCATTGTAAATACCCAATGCAAGTATTAACCCAGTATGAACCTACGTTTAGCCAGTACTTTTCAACTCCTATGTCGTAAAAACAAGTGTTCTGGAATCATAAGGGTATATATATATATAGACGCTCATGACTGACACTAAGTAACTGAGAGAAGCTAATTCTAACCATCTTCTAGATATGATAGAAACCTGAAACAATGTACACAAGTAGCGATCCTGAATACAGGAAAAATCCGACCTACAAGGTACATACCCCAAGGACACGCTTTTTTGGGAGGACGACTTTTTTTCGCTTCAGCAAAACGGAGCGGCAAAGAAAAGTAAAACTTGGTGATGGGGTTACCTCTTGAGATACTGATTTTAGGAAACGTTTAATTTTTAAGATAAATTCCCTGGGGGCATATCTTCCTCTAGGGGACATTTTCGAAATATTTTCGCTCCAGCAAAGCAAGGTAACATGGAAATGTGAAACTTGCCACACAATTAGCTGTTCTGATGTTGAATTCAGGAAAATGATTTATTTGAGGTACATAGCCTCAGGGCAACATTTTTGGATAGGACGTTTTTCCAAATACATTTTCACTCAAGCGAAACGGCCAAATATAGTAAGCGGAAATTAAGTAAGCCTGTAGTTTTTGAGGTTCTGATTTCGAGGTACAATCCCTCGGAGCATATTTTTGGGGGGTTATTTCCACATTTCTTTTTTGCTCCAGCAAAACGGGAAAATGCTGAGAACTGAAATTTGACACACAAGTAGAACTAGGAGAACTGAACATAGTAAAATCTTACTTTTGAGGTATATCCCTCGAGGCATGTCTATCGGGGGGGAGTATTTCTAGAAATATATTACCCCAGCGAAATAGACATATAGAGAAAGGTAACATTTCCTATTCGAGCAGTTCTCGCGATACTGATTTCATATTTTTTAACCCTTGAGAATCGTCGCCTCAGGGCATATTTGTTATTAGGGGCGTATAATGAAGAAATTCTTTCGCTCCATCAAAGCAGGCAAATATTGACATTGGAAATTAGGCTTGCAAGATCCTCTCTGTGAACTGATTCAACTTAAAATTTTACTTTATATGTTTATCCTCTGAAGGGAAAATTTTGGACGGGACGTTTTCCAAAAATACATTTTCGTTTCATCGAAACTCGCAAATATAGAAATCAAAATTAGACGATCCTGTAGTTCTTGGGGTACTAATTTAAAGAACATTTTTACTTTTCAAGTTTATCGCCGCATGGCACGTTTTTGCGAGTGGGAATTACAGGTATTTCGGGAAATGTCTTCGCTCTGAAGAAATGGAGAGAAATAGAATGGTGAAACTAGTTCTATGGGTTTCTGCTAAGACGTAGATATCAGGAGAAATACTGTCCCCTTGACGCGCGATGCACTTATTCCAACGCTTATAACGAGCTCGGCATTAGGTTCTGCCTTAACTGTTTAAATCTGCAGCCGTAGCACCAGACGGTTGAAACAATTCTGGATAAGGTTTGCTAAGTCAGACTTGCGGCCTCAACCCACTGATGACGCAGGCTGTCTGACAATTTCCTGGTATAGGATCTTTTGCTGTCATTTCTCTTTTAAACTCTAAACGTTTTGCCTCATTTCTGCAAGCTCATTTACAATAATTTGGCAATACTCTGATCTCTGTTCTGTCCTTCTGGGTTCGGAAGCTGGGGATTTTCTGTTGCCCTTGGATGGTTTCGGCTAGAATCGGCATCAACAAGTAACTTCTTTTACATAAAAGAAGTTACACCCTATGCTGACTGATTGAATGAAGCGATACAATATGCTGATTGATTGTTACAGAGTTCCACACTCGGCCTCCAGCAGTGACTGTAGTGAAGCCAAATAACTACATCTGCGTGAGAAACTGGCTACTGACAAATTGGCTTGAAATTTGCGGCAGTCCATCATGGCATTCACACTTACAACTCTTGCATTCGTCGGAGCATCATTCATGAACCCATTCCTCATTTATATTGCCATATTCTACGTGAGTAACCTGAACTCCTATCTTCTCCATCCTAACCTGCATGTATTTCAATTTTCACAGTCCCATTTTTGAAAAAAAAAGAGAAACTGGAACTGTTCAGCTGTTCTGTTATGAGAACTGGCGTCTTAGGACCCTAAATGACCACTCCTAGAGGCAAACGCGCGGTTTCGCCCCATTCTGGAACCGTCAAGGATCACGTCTCGGCATGAATGAACCTGAATGGGCTGAAAACAGACAAATATGCCTCCAGAGACCAAAAGTGCCGCATCTCGACTCGAACGTGGAATCCCTCCCTCTCGCTTTACAATCTTTACAGCTAGGCGTAGCTGCCCTCGTGCCGAATACCTTCTGGATCTCTTCATGAATTATTTATTCATTGAATCTCCGTGCTAGGAAAGCATAACATGGAGGAATTTATTTTTTCTTTGTTTCGACTTATGAATGGAACAGGCTAACTTAAGTTCCTGAGACAATGAAGGGGACATCACATTTTTGCAGATACAGGGTATGGCAAAAAAAGAAACGGCTATCAATAATAATAATAATTCCGCTCACACTGGACTGTTTTCGTGAAAATTTCACCTTGCATGCAGAGTATGTTTCCAACTGATTCGCAAAATATCATCTGAATTTGTTGAGCCGAAGCAATACCATGAGCATTTTATTGAAAATAAGTTAAACATTGAGAATGGACAATAGCTCCTGCTGGTAGTGAAGAGAAGGAAAAACTCGCAGCGCGATTACAACGCTGTCCTTCCAGGTCATCCAGACCACGTCGAGCTTCTTTTCTGTTTAAATTAATTCCTGGAGCTGGTTGGCTCCAGCAGATGCTTTCATGAATTTATTCCCAACGAATAGCAGATGAATCGATTAATATCAATCCAGAGTTTTCTCAACGTTCTTTGAGAATTTTCTGCTGCTTCCCTTCCAATTTTGTCTGATTGGGCTTGACCTGAAGCTTCCATATTTTCAGAAAAGAAGGCATAGACCATCACCTTTCTTCATGTCAAATGACATTTTTTGTTGCTCAAAAATGAATTGGCTAAGAATTTTCCAGCGTTACTGACGAAACATAGTCAAAAAGCAAGATTCACTAAGCTGGTGTTAAATTCCTTCAAATGGAATGGTGCAGGAGTAATGAAAAACCATCCCACTTCAAGTGATAAATGTTTAATGGAGCTTATTTGGTCCAAGTTTAGTACCCATACAGTGCAAAAAAAAGTAAGTTGGATGATACTTTATTAATAATTTTTTTTTTTACCATTTTTTGTCCCAATTTCTCCTGAACTGCCCTACAGTATAAGAATAAGGCCTACTGCTTTTGACCTGTGGGAAAGAGCAGTTTTAGCTGCTCTTAACCCTTTCTGTGCTGAATATGTTTTCCTGGTGGGGACTGCTGCTGCTGGAGTACAATGAAACAACTTGCACCAGAACGACCAAACATGTGGCTGGATGACTGCCAACACGATCAGCTGAGCGGCAGTATTGCCAAATCGACCTTGAAGCAGTTTGAGGCGGTGAGACCCGTCATTGGCACGATACAGGAAAAGGGTGATGAGGGTCTCACCCGTCAGCGGCACGGAAAGGGTTAAGCTTTATTAATTCAAAAAATCTTAAGTTTAATATTAGGATGAAACAGAACCCATATTAAGACCAGTTTGCAGTACAGGGTGTTTCAAAAGTCCGGACTCATAGGCAGATTTCCTAATTTACCTTTATCTCATTAAATGTTCAAATTGCATGCCATGAACTTGCATACACATATCAATCCTGGCACATAATCCCCTCTGAATATTTATTAGTACTTCTGTACTAATTTTGGTGTACTCATTCATTGATAAATTTAATTAATTCAAAATACGCATGAGTACGGACTTTTGAAACACCCTGTATTTTGGATATTGCATCTGAATCTGTCCACACTAGTTATGGGCCGAATGGCCATTGGAGCTTCCGAATTACAGGGAGTGCGACTAAGTCTGGTACTTTATTTTCAGATCCTTATATTCAGTGAACTAAAAAATAACAGCAAGACTTCTGCAGAACGGAGCCAGACGCTCAATGGCGTGAGTCTGAATTTCACCTATTTCTCAGTGCAAAAGCCTCTGAATTTCCATGTCATTTTTTGTGCCCTGCATATATTTCATCTGCAGCTGGTGTTTTCAGAGTGTCTGATGCACACATTCGCCACTCTACTGTTTCTTGTCTCTGGGAAGTGGGTCCCACTGTTAGTAAACATACCCCTGTTTTTATACCACATCAAAAAGTAAGTTGAATAATCTAAAAACATATGATGTCTATAAGTTTCTCACATTGCCATCGCGGTTATCTGCCGATTGTCATCCTCAGATATAAAAATAGGCCTGCAACGAGTGGCCTAGGAATGTATGATCCCCTATGCCTCACAAAGCTTGATATAGTTCTCAAAGGGCTAATTGAAGCTGGGATCAAACTGGCCTTCTACATTTTCTGCTTCTTCTACTATCTGCACGGGTGAGTGCATCTTTCCAAATTTATTTATATTATATTTGTGTCTCTTCCACTTTATTATCGATTTACATTTCTTGTCTGTTTCAGGATGGTTTTATCCCTGGTGGAACCATGATGTCCCCTGAACCCACAACTGTACCATGGACACTTAGTTGTGCTTGAACAACATGATTCATGAAACTGAACGGCATAGACATCCTTGTTCTGCTTTGTTTTCGTGCATGAACCCATCTGTCAGTCTATGGAGAGAATAAATACTCCTTTTCTTAAAGAATGACTCCTCAAAGCTGCTCATCTAGAATATTCCAAATACTATTGAATTGACAATATGGTTCTCGGTTCGGTTAGCAGATACACTTTCTTAACAGGGCAGTCTTCAATTTTTCCCCGCATTTTCAGCGTCGCTACTAGAATGTTGACTTGGAGATTAGACAGGACTCCTTGCTCCCCGTCGACGCTGTGTCTCACCTCGGATATCTGCATATACGATCAATACTAAGAGTGGACAGTTGTGCACACTGCGCTATAGAGCGATAACCCTAGAGTCAACCAGGGACGTCATCTGGTAAAACTGCAAGGAGGGGCAAAGAAGCTAGGCAACTCGAGTAAAACACAGCTCGGCTGTTATCGTCTGCTTCAATTTCGCGAATTTTACGAGGTACAATCAATCGCGAAATTGAATCGCTCGTGAACTTTTTCCCGTATGGGGTAATGGCCAAAACATAGGGAGTGGTCCAGTTCGTGAAATTCAAAATTCGCGAAAAAAAAAAATATATATATTTTAGGAATTCACGAAATTAAATCGGCGTCAGAAATCCTCCCAGCGTTGTCACGTAGAGTTGGCTGCAAGAAGATTGGTATTTAATTAGATGAAACTACAACCATGGTTGCATTCGGCAGCAGAAAATCTCTCAAATGAGAATTCCAGAAGTGTTAAGCAGATTCGCAGAGTTCTCTGGTTCAGGCAAACCGTTTTAACGCCCACGAAATCGATTAGATTTACGGCAACGGCGGAGAGCGAGGAACTTTCCATTTTTGGGAATTCGTCGACCAATTTACTTCGTTTTCAGTGCAGCCAACGGCAGAAAACTCCACTTTTCTCTTTTTTTTTATTACTCTCTTTAAGGCTGAGAAGAGTCTCTTGGCTTGGGCACACTGTAAAAAATAATTCCGACTAAGGCACTGGAAACAGGGTTTCCATCTAATGCGTGGAGTAGGGAATTACAATTCTCAACGTAAACGACGTCTCCTATTTTTTAACGTAAACATGTTGTTCCGGAAAAACCTCGGAATCGATCCCTCCCACAAAAGCGAGTAATGGAGCTTTCCTCTCATTTTCCGGGAAATTCCAATCCAATGTCGGAATCGGGTTTCCGTTCACAGAAATGAATTTCCATCTCATTCTGGTTTACCTTAATTGCCTTCATTATTCAAATACGGCTTCTTTCAATTCGAAATATTCCATGATACATGGGATTTAATTTCGTTACACGACTTCCACTTACCAATCCGTGAGTATTTGGTGCATCCCTATCACGGAGAAGCTGTAATTTCTATTCACTAATGCGATTATTCCATACCTTCTTTTAATCACTTTCGGAAAATATCACGACCCATTCTCGCCTTTCTCTCTTCTCAAAGAGAGAGTGTTAGAGGAGAACGACCGAGTCCTTGACCTTTCGGTGCGTGTAGATGATGTCGGTGAAGCGTTTCCCATCCATCGTTTCAGAGCAGTTCCGCTCCCAAAGGGAAGAAACTGGGAGGTCTTCATTTCTTCGGTATCCGATAGAGAAATACGCATGAAAACACATTCTTCTTCAAATGAAAACCGTGCGTTTTCTTTAGCATCATCATAATTACGGGAATATCGGAGGCTACCGGGAGTCATCTACCGGTCGGAATGTAAATTAAAGATGTCGGGTGGCTTCCCTAAAGTGTCGATACGGAAAGGCCCGAATGATCGGGAAGCTTTTTCCGAGAATATTCGGAACAGGCTTTTCCGACGCGAATGAGGAAAAGGATCGTTCGCTTCAACTTCGGAATTCGAATGTAGATCCCGTGGCCGTAATATTTTGTGAAAAGAAGGGGAAAATTCCGGAAATAGAACGAAGTTGGATTTCCGAGGACATGAAGGAAAAATTTTCCGTCCGTAAGAGGGAATGCGGGTTTACATGTAAACCCACATTCCACAACTCGAATGCGTTTTTTTTTTTTTACAGGGCAGTTGTTAAAGGCAGACTCAAAACAGAGTCCATTAGCTTCAAGTTTCGAGATCGCATCTCTCGAGTTCATGAATCCTCTGAGATTTAACAAAAAAAAAAACAGGAACCATGAAAATCATGCCGGATGAGGACTCTAGAGGCGGACTTTCAGGCTATTACGTTATAGGGAATAAAGGAAGCTATTTAAAAATCGCTCCAAGACACTCCAAGACAAAGGGGGGGCCACTTGCCCCCCTCCTCCCCCCGGCAGTTGCCCCCCCTTGTGTCTTGGAGCGATTTTTGACGTCCAAATGACGTCCCTGGAGTCGACAAAGAAACCGGTTCCCTGGGCCTCATTCCAGTCCTTGTCTGAAGCAATGCCACTGGGTTGGGTGATCGCCACTCATCCAATGCGTAGTACGGTTGCCACGAAATGTGCTTTATAATCCGCCTGACAATTCAAGAATTCTTCTGCGACAGAGCAGGAAAGTCGCGGCAAAACTGAATTTTCACTAAATGCATTTCATAGGGAGTTCTCTTTTTCTAGGTAATTTTATGGAAATTTGAGAGGCACTTCCAGGATATTGTTGATTATTCGTACTTTTCCATTTTGGGTTAAACAACGATTGCGAGGTAATATTAAACATTTGGTATCCGAATTATGCTTGCTGTCGTGACAAATGGCTTGGCAAACGACATTGTAGCTACGTAAACGAGTTGCAAGCTAGGACCAGCTCGAATCCTGTCCCACAACTGCTTTCAGTAGTTTGGAATGTTTTGCTATTTTTAGTTTGGGCTTTCGAAAGGGTAATGTGAATTATGGGGTACCTTGTATATACAAGTTCTAATTTAAAAAAAAAACCCTGTGATTTGAGGAAAACTGAATTTTAAAAGTAAATGAAGCATATTCAATATCTGATATTAATATTTTAAAAAAGTTAAAGAAACACGAAAATGAATTCCGGACCCAGCCTAGGTTTCACTGCGCAGCCACGCAACTGGGAAGTCGGTCAACTGTACGTGATTCACGTGCTTCATCCAAGTCACCATCCTCCTTCCGTTCTCTCAAAAAAACCTGCAGCATCACATGAGCAGGAGGCTTCCGTGACATTTTCACTTTACTCAAGCGAGTAGTGACGTGACCTTCATCTTCAACCTCCCTGGGCTCTTCTGACTGTCTGGCCTTTTCCTCATAAATCTTTGCGCTTCCCGTCTCCCCACATCCGGGGGAGAGGGGTATCGAGGGAGCAGAGCGATGCTATCTTGAGCATGGGGGGGGAGGGGGTTTAGATCCCGTGAAGCCCTTCCTCCCTTTGTTTGCGTCACTGTCTATATTCGTATGCTACAGTGTACGATTCGAGATGGCAGGCACGTTCATTCATTAACCTTTAGAGGAGTTAGTTTGGGTTTGGAGGGAGGGTACATTATTACCCTTTCCGAGGAGGTTAATTCGTATTCAGTGATCATAGACTGGGGCAGGGACAAAGGTTATGTGATCAAGTGCAAAGTACTCTTTGTATAAGGCGATGCCTGCACACGAAAAACCCCATCACCAGGCATGCCGAGAATCGTGGGAGTGTTCAGGCACTAAAATACACGGGGAGAGGGCAAGGTCTTAATATTAACTGCAGGGCGCCAATTCTCAGGAATGGGGATAACTGTTCGGTCATTCCCATCCTGCTCGGCTTTCTTGCCTACTGCCTGTCATGCATCATGACGATCTCCTCGCCCTGCATTCCTTATTTGCTTGAAACGTCATCGACTTCAGAAAGCCTTGCATGACATGTCGAGAGAGAAGAGGAATCGGAAAGTACGAATGCTGAGATTTTTGGCTCGGCAAAGACTTCATTTGGAAGTGGCCGTCATTCGCAGAACGTTGCCTTATTGCCCTTTTCTTGGGGTCGAACTGATATTATTTGGAACGCTTGAGCATTTCGAATTATTCATTCTAACATCTCGCGAATACGATCTTCGTTCCAATTTTAAATCAAGTGCTGAGTGTCGTCATCAGTCCATATGCCAGTCACCACGAAATATCAAATACATTGGAGCACTGCGAAAGGCAGAAAATAGGAACCCCCCCCCCCCTCATATCTCCAATACCGGCAGGTGCCGTGGAAGGATTTATTTATATGTATATATTTTTTTTTTCTACTAGGTAATCGCTTAAAAAGCCGTTCTTTATTAAACATAGGGCTCAACATTATATATATATATATTTTTTTTACGAGAAAGTTTCCCCATGGTTTCCAAAGCAGAATGCTGAGTTTTCCCTAAGAATCCGAATCTGCACCTTTGTCATCAGCACTTGGAGTAGAACGACTGAAAGGAAATGTTGCCTATCCTAATAAAATTATTTTCGCTATTTCCACGGGCGAGGAGCGAGTATCGCCTACGTATCTATATGGCAAGGAAAAGTGTAATCCTTAGCTAGACCTTTTTTCGTTTGCATAAGTTCCAAAAACTACCATCTTCAATGAAAGGGAAAGGGCCTATGATCACCTAACCAACCATATTTCGAGCATTTTTTGATGATAGATTGCGTTCCCTTCGTTTCAGCCCTTCAATTATAAATCCGCTGATGAACAAAGGTTAAAGATATCATACATTTGCATGCGCAGCAGTCCAAAAGTGTCTCGACAACGACATAGGTAGGTTCGGTTGGTTCTTTCAACTTAGGAGACTTCTCCATGGAAGTATTTCATTCACATGGAGGTAGTACCTACATGGCGTGATTGCTTTTGGGGTTTAAACTCACTTTAAAACCGTTGAAATGCAAAGACGCAAGAAAGAAAGCTGCCAAACATTAAATTTAATACTAGCTGATTATAATGTATTATTGGTATACTTTCTTCGCACACAGGAACATATGCCCTTTCATGGGGCTTTTGGCTAAACGAATAATGCTTCGAGTGGAGACTGCTCCTAGATGTCCAACGACTGGA